CTTGAGCTTAGACTCATCAGGGGTAATGCTCCAATTTTCATATGGTGGTCCAGCAGTTCTGTATTTTTTAAAAGGAATGGTATGATTTGAGTCATGGCAAGGGTAAAAACTTCCTTCACTTGCAACTTGGGTTGTACAAAAGTCAACACACAATATCTCAGTGTTTCTGTAGTGCCAACCATTGATTGCTTGAGATCGATGAAAGGGGACACTGTGATCTTCAGGACTGTGATCTTTAATTGTGTTGGTACAAACAGCTGCACAGAACGGGCAGGTTTCCCAGCAGCAGTTACACAGCTGATCGATGAGGATTTGATCAGGTCTCAGTCTGAATTCCTTCATCTTATCCAGCGAAAGCTGGCTTTTCATCTTTGTGATGGACACAAGGCCTTTCTCAATCGTTTCTTGAAGGAAGTCAAAATTTTTTATGTCCTTGAAGTTTTGAATAGAGATGGCATCAAGGGTCAGTTTATCACTGAGGAGACTAGAAAACTCCTTTTCCCACATGTCTGTGTCTCCTCTCTGGGTCTTGACTTTTTTTGTTGTTACATTTAAAGCATGAATGACAAGTTTGTTGATGTCCTCCTCATTTTTCCTGAGTATACTTAGTGTTTTATCTTTGTGCTCTCCAAGCATGTGTGTGTTTACTTTCTCTTTGATAAAAGCTTCTACTTGCTTCCTTGGATTTCGAATGTAGGTGATGAAAGCATCAAAGTCCTCTTTCTCTGCAAGTGACTTCAACACATGTTTCTCCAAGTTCAGTCTGTTCCCATTGAATGCTGGGAAAGTGCACCTCATCTCTCCAGCGAGATCAATGGCAACTTTGTTACAGACTGCTTCAACAATGGAAACCTTCAGTTTCCCACAGATCATTTCTCCAAACACAACAGCAGAAGAGTTTCCTTTGCAGAAGCTGCTGAAAATGTTGTAGTATTCTGTTTTTTTGCTTTCCAAGTAAGTGAGTGCATCATTGCTCGTTTTGTATTTTTTGTGAGACTGTGAAAGCCAACTGCAAGCAGTGTCAAATACATACAGTAACAGGTCAACTGTGAACTCCTTTTTGAAAGCACATTTCTTATTTGATTCAAACTCTGTCACTGTGTCCTGAACTGTTTTAGCCACTTCTTGTAAGTAAGTTGAACTGTAGCCTCTTGTTGCTACAGGCTTGCTCATAATGGCATCAAGAGACTGTTTTTCAA